TATTTTAATAATTAATTATTCATCTAGAGCAAATGAAATAATATTTTTAAATACTATGCTTCATACTGTTTCCTAATTACTTCCAAATAAGATAACACACTTCTTGCTCACCCTGTATGCACGCCTGATTTTAACGATATTTAGGACAATACATATAAATCTGACAATTTTAGCAGTGGTATTAATTAAACAGACTGTTCAAACTCTTGGAGAATAAAAACCCATTTTTTCCTTCACAAGCAAACATCATCAGTATTTTAAAGTTTTTGATTAAATTTGTTGTTTTCGTTTGTTTTTTTTTGTGTCATGTCTAAATGGCATAATTCATATTAAAAAAGCTCGCAGATATAAAGCACGCTTAAAATAAAGCCAGAAGGTATTACACTGACTTTTGAAGATGGTATTTTAGACCAAAGAGAGAAAATCTGCTAATGCAAGTCTGTCAATGGTCTTTTGTGAAAGATAATATTACCTCTGACTATTCTTCCAAATTATTGCCATATTTATAGGAAAAATAATATAAAACCATGAGTTGAATCATATGTACATATCAAAACTAGTTCTTTTTCTTTCTTAATCCTTCATAAAATGCAGTTAAGGATTATAATTTTTATAAAATATCCTCTGTATTGAGCTAGATATGCAGATCTCAAAAATGATAAATGTAATTGATTATGGGACAGAATGTAAACAGAAGGTGGACGAAGATCAAACAGTTAAGAATATCTCAAAATAATTTTAAATCATGTTGTTCAAAGATTTATACAACCATTGTAATAAAAAATGGTGTGAAAAACGATTTATTTGGAGGTTAAGTGAAAAATGTTTATTGTAGTCTGATATTTAACATAAAATGTGACTATTCGCTGGTTAATACTGCCTACCAACAAGATTTTGTTTTCATTAAATGTTTTCATTTCTTAAAATGACTATTTGATAAACTTTTAATAATTGAGAAAAAGAAAAAAATGTATAAAAAATAAGGGTAAATATTTTTCATTTTGTTGTCAGTTTTATATGTAAATCCCCGACTGCTTTTCTAAATAGGAGAAATATTTAATTTTCTAACTCTCCCGGAACTGAATCTCTGAGTAACGTGTTGTACAGGTTTCATTAAAAGTGCTCAATATAGAATTTTTCATTATTTAATTAAACTATATATTCAGAATCAAAAATTTTAAACAAGTTTTTCCTAAATTCAAATAACAAATATATAGAAAACGTATGTAAGGTAGACTCAGTTTAAACTAAAATAAATTATTATGAAATATATATAGCTTATTGTGAAATATTAATGGCAGAAAAACATCCAACAGATACAAAAGATACTAAGATACAAAATTAGTATGGAATATTGTATATTGTATAATGCAATTTCTTACGTTGGTATGTGTATGTGACGAGCGAATGCCTTGTTAACAGATGTAAACTATGCATCATTGTCTACAAAGAGTCAGTTCTTAGTTTCTAATGACTGCGGCTTCTCGAGCGAGTATCGCAGTACAAGAGTTAAAACAAATGTCAAATAAAATCAGCATGGCAAAACAACTATATGAATATTGACACAAAAATACCTACCAGAAAAGAGCTCACGTCATTTTCACGCAAAATAATTAATGTTTCATATCACATTTCACAAAAAATATGTCGTTCTACATAAAATGTCACGTTCCACTTTACATTTTAACGTTAAATGTTAGGTTTCAAGGTAAATGTCACATTCCACGTTACATTTTGTCGTAACATGTGACGATTTTATGCAAAATGTCATATTTCGCGTAAAATATTAGGCTCCGCGTTCTATTTCACGTAACATATCAATGTTCCACGTCACATTTTATGTAAAATCTTACTTTCATAGAAAATGCCATGTGCCACGTTACATGTTGACGTCAAAGCTCAGGTTTCAAGTAAAATATCATGTTCCACATAACATTTGGACATAAAGTATTGTTCCAGGGAACATTTTATATTATATATCACATTTTACGTAAAATATATCTTTCCACGTAAAATGTAACATAATATGTCAGTGTTCCACAAAAATATAACGTTTCACATAAAGTATTACGTTTCATATTAAATGTCACGTTTCAGGTCTCAGTTTGACGTAAAATGTCACGTGTAAGGTCATATTTCATGAAAAATGTTACATTTCGCCTAAAATATTTCGTTCCACGTTATATATAACATAAAATGTCAATGTTCCACGTCAAATTTTTGGGTAAAATCCATTGTTTACCATAAAATATCACGTTTCACCTTCAAGGTCACGTTTCAAGTCTGTTTGACGTAAAATGTCATGTGTAAGGTCACATTTCATGCAAAATGTCACATGTTCTACATCAAATTTTGGGTAAAATGTATCGTTCCACATAAAACATCACCTTTCACATTAAATCCCATGTTTTAGGTCTCAGTTTGACGTAAAAGGTCACGTGTAAGGTCACATTTCGTGAAAAATGGTACATTTCGCGTAAAATATTTCGTTCTACCTTAAATTTAACATAAAATATCAATGTCCCACGTCAAATTTTGGGTAAAATATATCGTTTCACATAAACTATGCTTCACCTTGCATGTCACGTTTTAAGTCTGAATTTACCTTAAAATGACACGTGTAAAGTCACATTTCACGCAAAATGTCACATTTTGCATGTCACATTTAACATAAAATGTCAATGTTCCACATTAAATATCTGGTTTAAATTCTCAGTTTGACGTCAAAATGTCACGTGTAAAGTCACGTTTCATTCAAATTTAACATTTCGGTAAAAGACTTCGTTCCATGTCAATTAACATAAAATATCACGTTCCACATTAAATGTCACGTTTGAGGTTTCAGTTTGACGTAAAATGTCACGTGTTAGGTTAGGAAAAATGTTACATTTCGCGTAAAATATTTCGTTTCACGTCACATTTAACATAAAATGTCAATATTATACGTCAAATTTTGAGTAAAATGTATTGTTCCACATAAAATATCATGTTTTACGTTAAATGTTACGCTTTAAGTCTCAATTTGACGTAAAATTTCATGTGTAAGGTCACGTTTCATGCAAAATGTCACATAAAAGGTCGCAGCATATTATCATGCACGTATAGTTTCCGGCACGTAGCGCTTCCAGTCCAGCAATCAGACTGCACGTTCACATTTTCATACATAGAACGTTTCAGTTTGGTTCAGTGAATATATGATCTCGCTTTTCTCGACAAAAACGACGAAGAAAGAAAAACTGTAGTAAAAAGAAGGTTTGAAGTACATCTAATGCCAAAAGAAATCCAGAATACTGGATTTTCTACAAAGAATTAATTGATGACGATTCAATTGATTCAGTTTGAATATATTTTAAATTTAATTACACCTTTAGTTAAAAACCAAAATAATACATTTAACGAAGCCTTACATATCATACCAAAAAGTATTTTTAAAAAAGAAGAGGTATCACTTCCGTACAAAAGTCCTAATTGTTTATCACTTCCTGTATTAATAGTCACAAAGCAATAAAAACACATGCATAAATTACAACAAAATACCTTCAAAAATATTTTTTTTACTATTCTGTGTCAAAATCAACAAATACCTAAATAAACAACGAGGAGAAAACAACGAACCTCTAATTCAGTATCCGTACCAACAGGTTTCGACTCGTTCCGTAGCGGTCGGCATCTTAAAATATTGTTTTCGAATATACTGAACGGAAACGTTGGTTGTCTGATACGATACGTTCTGGACAGTGTGAGTTGTTAATATTTAAAACCATTTAAATTATATTTTTCGGAAACTAAACGCTATGTGCTGGAAACGCAACGTGCATGAGAATATGACACGACCTTTAGCGTAAAAGACTTAGTTCCACGTCACGTTTAACATAAAATGTTAGTTTTCCACGTCAAATGTTGGGTAAAATATATCCTTCCACATAGACCATCACGTTTAACATTCAATGTCACGTTTCTGATCTTAGTGTAACGTAAAATATTTCGTTCCACGTCATATTTAACATAAAAGGCAACGTGACACGTCAAATTTTGGGTAAAATGTATCGTTCCACATAAAATGTCGCATTCCACCTCTAAAAGTCACAGGATGATATAAAGTGTAGCATTCCAAGTCACATTGAAAAATTAACTGCTAAGCATATCAAAGACATTGAGTAAAATGTTTAGCAAGCTCCAAGATTGACATTGCTTACATTGAGGAACATTCAAATTGAAAAACTAGTCGACTTGAATAAAAAGAAAAATGAAATTTTCTCCAGTAAAGAATATTTGTGTAATAGCCTCAAGTAGGTCGAACCCAGATAAAGCAAACTTATTTTTAAAATGCTTTTATTTCCTTGTTATAGCCGTATCCATTAACCAAGTTTAATGTAACCCGAAAGAGACATTGAGTTTTCTTCGATGTTTCTTACTTTCTACAGGATCTTAACATACACTGTAAAGAATATGTCACAAAAACAAAAAATATACAGTTTGTGCATTTTATTTTATATTTTTTAATACCATGAAATTACGTTAATTGATTAACTTGATAACAATGACTAAAAAACGTATCTAAAAAATAAAACAAAAATACCAACGTTAATACTTATAAAGTTTTCAATAAACAAAATTTGGAAGTGGTACCAAAATTAATAATATTTTAACGGTTTTATACCGAACTCGGATAATACATTCTATATTTGAGCACCCTAATAAACTAAAGAAAAAATAATAAACGATTAAGTACTAAATAAATACATAAATACTTTCGATTTGAAATAGACACTAAAGCACTAGTTGAGAGGAAGGCAAAAGATATTTTGAAGTAAAGATTTGGCGGGCTGCGGCCTCATGTCCACCTGCAGGTAATGTCCCCCGTTGCCTATGTCCACGGTGGAGTCCCCAAGGTCCGGAGGCGGCGGTGGCGGAAACAACGGAGGCGGATAACGGTGCGCCGCTGCCGGTGGGGGCGGAGGTGGCAGGTTGGAGGGATGCAATGCACAGAGGACGTTATGTCACACGCAATCTTCTAACGACATGAGTAGCGGATTCACGTACTCGAACCCTTCGAATTCTGATTGATCTATCTTCTCGATTACTCGTCTAAAAACAAAAAAATATATTAGCAAAACTATTTTACTAGTTATTTTTGCATACTCTATAACTCATTAGCAATTTTTGTTAAAAGAATGTAAATAATAAAGGGTGTTCCGTAATGGAATTTAGTTTTTGAATTAATAAAACTCCTTTGCACTACATGTTAAAATAGGTTTAATTAAAAATTTAAAATCAAAAGACATGCGGATTTTAATGTTTAAATAAAATGTCTTTTAAATGTTGACCGTCTTGTTCGTGGCACTGCTCCAATCTGGATCTTAAGCTAACAAAAACTCGTTGACATATATTCACAGGAATGTTTCCAAAAAGCGTCTCAAATACGTTGTTTTAACTATGCTGTGGTTGCTGGGGGTCAGTGTGTACCACACTCTTTACGTACCCCCACAAAAAAAGTCCAGTGGAATTCGATCAGGCGATCGTGGCGGAAAGGGGTATATCACCGCTTAATGCGATGACGGTGCCTGGAAACAATTCTCTAACCGCGTTCATCGAAAGAATTACTGTATGTGGTGTGGCACCATCTTGTTGGGACCAGGTGTCGTCTTCATTATAACCCGGAAAATTCTGTAGTTCGGAACGCAAAAAATTTGTTACCATGTCGACATTACCACTCATCTTTTAAAGAAATATCGCCCAATTATTCCGTGTGCAGACATGCCACACCACACAGTCACTTTTTTAGAATGGAGTTGCTTCTGATGTAATTGTCGTGGATTCTCATTAGCCCAGTATCGCGAATCCTGCTTATTGACGTTTCCATCTAAATGGAAGCGTGATTCGTCACTGAAAATAATGTTCTCCACACCTTCATCCTCCCAAAACTGGTTCATTTAGGTCTCGCAGAAGATGCGCCTCTTTTTGTAGTCTGTCGGCTTCAAAAGTTGGATTATCTAAATTTTATAAGGATGAAAGTGAAGATCTTGGTGTGAAATACGGTGCAAACTAGTGCGGAATAAATTTAGTTCCTGTGCATGTTTCCGGAAACAATTTCTAGAATTTTGATTACAGCTCGTTCGACTCTGTGAATATTCGCAGGTGTTCTAACACCTTTTTGTCCGACCAGAGAGCTTCCTATTTGTCACAGAACCAGTTTCACGGAATATATTCACCCACAATTTTACTAAGGGAGCTGATGGTGCATCAGCTATGCCACGAAGTGTTCACAAAACCGACGAAGAGCTATGGTGAATGCTGAGCACGTTGTTCACCCGACCACTGCGCCATGAGTCTAATGAAAATCTGGAAGTGATGGAACTAAATGTTGAATACCAACTGAGAACATATGTTCCCAAGATGAAGTTAACTTAAAAATGATTAATCAAACCGTCAATCGCTCGTGAGCATACAAGAAATAGTATATAGTCGCCTCGTATTTCGGTGACACTGTGTAAAAATGTATTTATCTGTAATAAAACAGGCAATAAAAATTAAAATAAAAGTACTCTACCAGGAGTAGTTATTAACTACAAAATTATCAATGACTGAGATGTATAATAATACAAAGTTTTTATATATCGTCGATATTTACATTCAGATGTGCCTGGTATTAGGTTTGAAAATATGGGCAGTCACCCAGTTGAAGTTACCATCGAATTGTTGATCAATCCACGGAGAACAAGAGCCAATGGAAACATCGGATATCGCTATTATAACAAAGCACAATGTTACAAAGTTGTGTAGTAAAACGTAAGCGACATTTTTAATACCTCTCTGATGATTCCAAATATATGCTGAAACATGTTTATGAAGGATTGTGTTCTGAATTGTCTAAATCAGAGGCAATTGCAGAAACATGTTTTTTTTTTAATCAGAGTGCCAAAGCAACCTGCTACAAGATTATAGGAGAAACATCTTTTTCTAGACAGAGGAGAAAGGATTGTGGCAAATTCAGACAAATAGAACCGCACTTAAAGGAACCTATAATCAGAACAATATACAAAATGGATGCGGCTAATATTTTTCCAACTATTGAAAGCCTTCGAAGTGAACTGGTTCGAAAGGACATTCTGTCATATTCAGCAACAAATTGATAATTTCTTAAAACCCATAATTTCAAGTAAAAAACTATAGACAAGGGCCAAACACTAACGGAAAGATACTAGAATAATTATTTATTTAAGAAACAATTATATCAGACAGATAACTGAGTATCAAAAAATGAAACGAAATGTTGTTTATTTAGATGAGACCTGGTGTGATACTCATAACAGGACAGATAATTATAATTTTACACTGCGGTGGAGAAAATAGATGGATCGACGATGTATTATTAATATCTGAAGACGAGTGTCTAGATTATCATGAGGATATGGAAAGTTCAATTTTTGAATCATGGTTTGAAAAATCTCTTCTTCCGAGATTACCTAAATATAGTGTGATTGTCGTGGGCAACGCATCATAACATTCAAGATTAATGAGAAAATTCCAAATATTACTTGAAACAAATTACAAATTTATTCTTATTTGAGAAATATTTGTACTTTGAGGCATCATACAGTAAAAAGCAATTGTTGGAGGTTGTTTATAGTAGACACTACCAGAAGGAATATGTTGTTGATATAGTGAAGTCGTTTTACCCTGTCGCATTTCGGATTAACACCCGAAAAATAATTTATGACTACAGTTACAGCCACTCTGTTATGATTTCCCATTTTCTACCTGCTTTGTGGTACCGAAGCTCCTACTGGTCGCTGTAAGTACTTGAGAATAAATCCGCTGAGAGAATGAGAACTGCTGACTACCTGAGGCAAATCTGAACAGACACTTTTATTACTTATGCGACAGGGTAAAACGATCCTACTTTAACTGTACGCGCAGTAATTGGCATATCGTGCTTAGACTTCCTCCTTATTATTGTACATTGAACCCAATAGAGTTAATATGGACTAGAACTTGAAGGAAATATAAAAGAAGAAACGTGGCTCCTAACTTATCGTCTGTTTTCCAGTTAATTTGGAAAAAAAAGTCACAAAGATCACAGCAACCAACTGGAAAAATGTAATCAAACATGTAATCGCAGTAGAAGAATGACATGTTAAATATTTACTAGCATTAACCAAATTAACTATAAATTTAGAAGATACAAGTGATTCTAGTGATAACAGTGATTCTGAGTAGATTAGTAAGTAGTTACTTCGAACTAGGTGTTAGTTGAAACCTTTATTTTTATTGAATTGTAGATATTTTCGTTTTGCTTATATCTTTGAAAAATAGGGTACAAACAGACTTCATGATAGAACAAAAACGTACAAAGTATTTAATTTAAAATAGTCAAAGTACAGGTTAGATTACTATAAAATACCTGCTACATATATATAAAAAAAGATGTTTATAAAAGTTTTAGACCCCTTACCCATTTTAAAATTATTGAGGTACCAAGTCTTCTCTCACACGGTTTCAAACCAAAGTTGTGGTTCTTTAATAGAACACACTGTATATAATTTAAAAAATGAACTCTATAAAAAATGAACTCTGATATTTTCCTGATTACAATAACTAAGTTATCAGGGATAAAATGTACTCATTAAGTTTTAAAATTTATGAGCAGATTTGTGTTAATAAAACATTGGTATACTAAAATACTTGTACCGGGTGGTCCAATAAGCCGATCTCTCGGCTATATATCAGAAACTATTCATGTTATAACTTTAGGAAAAAAAATTCCTTAGTAAAAGTGGCCAAGAGAAATCGCTGGAAATAACTTTCAAGATTCTGGATTAACCGCTAGGGGGCGTAACCTGCGAAGAAAATTTTGAAAACCAGTTTTTTGGGAAATATGTCCAATTATACCAAGTGTTAAATAAGTAAACTAGAAAGGGGCATAAATTCTGCACAAAGTTGTTCAAGTACTTTTTTTTTATTTTTTCAAATAAAGGGTGGGGGAGAGTGGGAAAGTATTTGTGGATAAATACCTATAACTTTGGTTTGGTCCAACCGATTTTAATGAAATTAGTGTCATTAGAAAGAGTGTGGATGAATTAATTCACATCTACTATAAAATACTTGCATTTAGTTTTCATAGTCGTAGGTAGAGGGGACTTTCAAATAAAAAAAATTAAAATTTGTTTTTCTTCAAAATTTTTAATGGAAACACCTATTTATTGTAAATTATAATGGAACTGGAATAAATTCGTAACAAAATGGAGCAAACCGCATGTTAATAGCTTTTGTTGAACTCGAGATATGAATAAAAACTCATAAACATAAGTAAGTATAGTATTGACACACCCTGTATTATAAATTACATTAAAAAATAAGTCAGTAGGTATTTTCAAATTTTTTTATAGCAGAAGAATTTTAATGTTGATACCTATTTTGTAAAAAATAGTTTTTTCGAAACTAAGTAGGCTACGACAATGAATTTGACGGGAGTTCATATTGTTTATTTATTGACAGCAGTCAAAACATTGTTAAGAAGTGCTATATTATAATTCGAATTAAAGATTGCACTTTTTTCAATAGATATTAATATTGGTAATATTAGTAATTAATTATCAGTACAAATAATTCGTGATGAGTATATCAAATTGTATGATATGATTGGAGTTTATTTCGAATGTCACCAAAATGCCGCTATTGCCTCACGTATATATTTTGTAAGATATCGTGACAGGAGACATTATGGCAAAGAAGTATTTGAAAGAAAGGCAAAAAGATTAAGAGAAACTGGTAGTTTTTCTCGTCCTTGTTTTAAACGACGTAGTAGAGTTATGACCGAAGATAATTCAATCAATGTTCTTGCTTTAATTCAACAGAATCCACATATAAGTAGTCCGAAATCTCTACTTCTTTGCCACAATATCTCCTGCCAGGATATCTTACAGAATATATACGTGAGGCAATAGCGCCATTTTGGTGATATTCGAAATAAACTCCAATCATATCATACAATTTGATATACTCATCACGAATTATTAGTACTGATAATTAATTACTAATATTACCAATATTAATATCTATTGAAAAAAATGCAATTTTCAATTCGAATTATAATACATATAACACTTCTTAACAATATTTTGACTGCTGTCAATAAATAAACAATATGAACTCCCTGTCAAATTCATTGTCGTAGCCTACTTAGTTTCGAAAAAACAATTTTTAATCATATGAAATAACAATGGTCAAAATAGGTATCAACATTAAGAGTTTTCTGCTATAAAAAATTTTGAAAGTACCTACTGACTTATTTTTTAATTTATTTTATAATACAGGGTGTGTCAATACTATACTTACTTATGTTTATGCGTTTTTATTCATATCTCGAGTTCGATAAAAGCTATTAACATGCGGTTTGCGCCATTTTGTTACGAATTTAATCCAGTTCCATTATAATTTACAATAAATAGGTGTTTCCATTAAAAATTTTGAAGAAAAACAAATTTTAATTTTTTCTATTCGAAAGTACCCTCTACCTACGACAATTAAAACTAAATGCAATTATTTTATAGTAGATGTAAATTAATTCATCCATACTCTTTCTAATGACACTAATTTTGTTAAAATCGGTTGATCCAAACCAAAGTTATAGGTATTTATCCACAAATACTTTCCCACTCTCCCCCACCCTTTATTTGAAAAAATAAAAAAAAAGTACTTGAACAACTTTGTGCAGAATTTATGCCTCTTTCTAGTTTACTTATTTAACACTTGGTATAATTGGACATATTTCCCAAAAAACTGGTTTTCAAAATTTTCTTCGCAGGTTACGCCCCCTAGCGGTTAATCCAGAATCTTGAAAGTTATTTCCAGCGATTTCTCTTGGCCACTTTTACTAAGGAATTTTTTCTCCTAAAGTTATAACATGAATAGTTTCTTGATGTATAGCCGAGAGATCGCTTATTGGACCACCCGGTACATAAAAAATTGTTTAATTGTATGTGATAATTACTTTTATTAACAATTTTTATAGGTATTATTATTTTATAATAAGTTCTGTTCAGTCGAGTCGATTAGTGTCACAGAAGTGATTTTTTTATTTAAACCGATTTTTTTATTTAAACTTTATAGAAAAAACTTTTTGGTAAATAAAATTAAATAAAAATAAAATTTGTATTTAATTTAAAATTAGATATCTACGCTACTGTTCAGTAAAGTACTGGTCACTCTAACATTGTTGCCAATTTGCTAGTATCTTACTCGCTCTTGTTCCTAGACATTTTCCAACGAAATTACGTGCCGACTATACTGACTATCAACTTAGTTTATCTTTAAATACCGTATATTTTACAGTGAAATAAAATTTACAAATCTTGTTAAAATAATTTAAATTTGATATAGAGATGTAACTTACGGATCATCTGGTGTAAGGTGCACAGGTTCATCGGTAAATTCTGGTGGGAAATTGGCTAAATCTCTTTCTGAATCCAATCGTGGTTTATAGGGAGGGGGTACTTGTTTTTGTTCCAACTAAAACATACATTTTATTAATTTAACTTGCGCCAAAACTATGTTCTTATAAAAGTCAACAAATAATGCCTGTATTTCCCACAGGTTTACCCTATGTAATCACATAAAATATAGATAAAATTATAAATAATAACTGAGAAGAAAAGTTACACATTATGTTAGGCTTTATGGCATTCAATGAAACAAGCATAAATATCGCAATTCACGTATCTAGATCGTTGAAATAGCACATGTATGCTAAATACAGCATATGCATTGTCAGGTCCAGGAGCTTTGCCATTGTTTAGGACGTCCTCCAACAAGATGGTCGAACGGCATCAAGCTCATTCACAACTAGATTCAAGGTGCTCAAAAATGGAACAACTGTGACCAGCTGTGACCAGTGACCAGCTGTGACCAGTGACATGACAATCACGACGCAGATAGTCACTCTGGCCGGCCAATAACAAACAGTCCTATTAACTGCTTGGTAATTGGCCCCCCGTTGGAAGATCGCTGCTAAATTGCAAACATAAAGTGGATAAAAAGGCAGCACATCTTCCTATAGGGATCTAGTCGTCCTACACCACTAGCCCCTGCTAGACCTCGTTGGTCGAGTGCCTTTTCTACAATTCTGCATTTTATTATTACCTGAGTAAACATTTCTTCGATTTAAGAAGACTTCGTTACGAAGACGATTCCAAAAAGCTCTTTAGTGTTTGAATAAACACGCAGCCGTGTGGCTGCGATATTATTCAGGCCTACATTAAGGTATAGGAACCGGAGTAGCGACTGTTGGCCATTCTTTCGTCGAGGTGAAGAAAAGTTTGGTAGTAAACTTGTCACCTCAAGAAAGAAACTATCAGCTCGGGGTGAACATTCCGCGGCTCGTAGGGCAGGGACGTTAACGCGTATCCGGCCAGTAGGCCTGCAATCATTTGGGGGCACAAAGCTATGCAATGCCGGTAGGCATCGATTTTTGAGATGGGAAAGACAGTGTGCCTTGTACCTATTTCAGATCGTGCCAAACTGGCACAGTGTTCCACTGGACCACCGACGGTTAGGAGTGAATAAAAGTCCCAGGTGGACTTAGAATTGCTTCTCACTCGATAGCCACGCTTCGCCGTTAGAAACCTTCTCGATGGAAATAATCAACGTCTTTATAAGACATAAGACTATCTTGTAAAATCCAGGGCGTACACTGCAATTAGAATACTCATACTCATATATGTTAGAAAAACCCACTGTCAAGTAAGAACCATCGAACTGTTAAAGTATTCAGATTGTTGGTGGGCCTTCGGAGCGAAGAACCTTCGCTCCGCCTCAAGAGCGGCGGCCCAATTACATTAAAATGTTACATAATAGATCAGGACAATTAATGCAGGCCATTCACGTTCCGACTTGTGGTACGACTAGTGGTCCAACTTTTGCAGTTGGATCTGAAATCGGACCGTGAGTGGGCTAGTTGGATTAGTTGGACAACTAGTGGTACGACTCGGAACATCTAGTGGGACGACTTGAAGATCCGACTTCCGACTGGCGACGAAGTCGGAGCGTGAATGGTGAAGTTGGAAGTCGGATCACAGGTTGGATAGAAAATTTCCTCAGTCAGTTGACCTTCGTCACCTGTTACGTAAGATTCATGAAATATTTAATAGTAAAATAGAAACTTTCAATTGCACGAAAATTACCTTTTTGTTAGGGCAAATCATTTTCCTTTCTGTAGATCTATTTCGGACATTCCCATACAGGTAAATTTCCGATACTCCGGATTGGCTACGGAAGAATTATCAACAAACAATGAAAATTAAATCATAGTTGTAGCAAAAGATCCCAGTTCGCAAAAAAATAATAGAAAATAACTTTCAATTGCACGAAAAATTATTCCTATTAAAAATATACGACACACACACAACAAAATAAATCTCAACTCCAGTTTAAAACAAATAAAATATAGATTTTATACCTACACAAATCTTTAAAACTATAATTTTTTCTTACATCTTAAAAAGTCATAAAAATCAAGGGTTGAAAAAATTAATTAGTTCAGCCCTAGACAAATATCTAGAGAAACGAAACCTAATTTTTAAACATACATATCATAACATACATATAAGGATAACAAGCACAATCTGCCATTTTCCTCCTAATTATATTTTGCGTAGTATTTATTCGAAACATTTTTTGGTTAAGCGATGTACACCATCGTGAAAACAACCTAGAACTGAAGTTGGACCGCTAGTTGGATAGGAAGTCGGAGCGTGAGTGGAGACGAACATCCAACTAGTAGTCCTACTAAGTGGGACCACAAGTCGGAACGTGAATGGATTGTCTAACCTTATTGTGCTGAATTTTTTACAAAAAAAAAAGGTTAAGCCGATTCTACCAGGTCACACATTTTCATAAATGAAGACCAAATTACGATGGCATATTCTAATTTGCGTCGAATAAAAGTATTATATAGAATAATAAGTGTATTTTATACTGGCCAAACTTCTCAATTTGCAATCTGCAAGTCAAAAACGCTTAATCGAAAGAGCCGTTCCCAAATGTATAGCTGGTAACATGCGAAGCATGGCTCACCACTTCCTTCCCCCTCCAATGGACCACAGGAGTGATGACGTAGATTTTACTGACATACGTCAGTTTCACTTTCCAAACAAACCTGGTTTAGTGTGGATAATTTGTATTTTTCGTTATTTTTTCATTTATTTTATAGAATCTTTCCGCTTATTGCAATATTTAAGTATTCTAATAGTTACTACAACAATTTTACAAGGTTGTGTAAATAATAAAGCACATTGTTTTATGCTAATAGCAATAAAATGCATGTATCAATAAAGTAAGGTTACAATTTCTTTATTTAAACTTTTAAACTATATTTCATAGAAATAGAACTCTGAATTATGATGGTATTATCGTAAAAAAACACTATGCTTACAAGAAAAAGCAGCAGAGAAGCAAAATGTTAACTTTATAGAAATTAAAAAGTCTTGAGATTTGACATTTCAACTTTTGTTTGGAAAGTAAAATGTCAATGTAGACAGTCGTGACGTCACACTCCTGCGGTCCATCCCCACTCACTTTACTAACTCAAAACTGCTTTCGTATAATGACGTCTACTCTTGACCAAATTCTCTAACTGGTAAGGGGGCCCATACCTTGAAGAAGCGCTCCGAAGAAACAACGTTTAAAACAACAACAAAACACAGGGGGACTAAGACGAAGGCAGAAGAGAAATATAACTGATTCTGACGGAAACATCTTCTTGGACAAACAGAGTAAAATAAGAACGTGGAAAGAATATCTAGAAAAACTATTTGAAGACCAAAGAGATAACACCTTTGAGCTAGAAAAGAGGTAAATGATGGACCAAGAATATGATAGCAGGAAGTTTATTCCGCAATAATACAGTTAAAGAATGGCAAAGCGGCAGCCCTGATAATATACATGCAGAACTACTCAAATTAATAGACAAAGAATCAATAGCAATAATCACAAAGATATTCAACAACATATACAACTCTGAAGAAATACCAACAGAATGGCTGAAACCTGAGTTTAGTGCACTTCACAAAAAAAACAGGAGCCAAAAAATGCGAAGATTACCGTACTATAAGCCTCATGAGTCATCTCCTAAAATTGTTCCTAAAGATAATTCATAAGAGAATCTACAAGCTGTGTGAAAGTCAAATTTCCCACAACCAGTTCGGGTTCACAAATGCTGTTGGTACTAGAGAGGCTTTGTTCTCAGTACAAGTCTTATTCCAGAGGTGCAGAGACGTTAACTGCGACGTATACGCATGTCTGGTTGATTACGAGAAAGCGTTTGATCGAGTACAGCACGCCAAGATGATGCAAATACTAAAAGAAGCAGGAATTAATAACCAAGATCTGAAAATAATTAGAAATCTTTACTGGAATCAGACAGCAAATCTCAGAGTTGAAGGTAAACACACTGAGTATGTGAAAATAATGCGTGGAGTGAGGCAAGGCTGTATTTTGTCTCCTCTAATCTTCAATCTGTACTCTAAAATAATATTTATCGAAGCTTTGCACGAAACTGAAAAAGGTATTCTACTAAATGGTTACCGGCTAAACAACATCAGATATGCAGATGACACCATAGTATTTGCGGACAACTTAGAAGACCTACAAGTTCTTATGAACAAAATCACGTATTACAGTCAACAATATGGACTCAATATAAACGTAAGAAGACAAAGCTTATGATAATTAGCAAGAAAAGGATAACAGAAGGTCAACTCTACGTCAACCAATCCCCTGTAGAAAGAGTGAAGCACTACAACTACCTCGGTACCATAATAAATAAAGAATGGACCAACAACCAGGAGATTAGAGCACGTATCGGAAAAGCTAGATCCACCTTCAATCGGATGGGGGCCTTCTTCAAGAGTCACAACTTCTCTTGATACAAAAGTAAGAATGCTGCGATGCTACGTCTTCTCTGTCTTTTTGTATGGTGTTGAATCGTGGAACTTGAACGAAGATATGTACAGAAAACTGGAAGCATTTGAGATGTGGCTATATCGGAGAATACTTAAGATCCCGTGGACTGACCGAGTCACAAATGAGGTCCTCAGAAGAATAATTAAGAACCGAGAGGTACTAACCACCATCAAATCTCGAAAGTTACAATTCTTCGGATATATTATGCGAAATGAATCCAGATATGCTCTCCTTCAAGCCATCCTGCAAGGAAAAATTTTTGGAAAACGAGGTCCAGGAAGAAGAAGAACAACATTGGTTAAAGCACCTCATAATCTGGTTCGACACAACATCTGTGCAGCTTTTCCTCGCTGCTGCAGATAAGATAAAGATTGCCAACATTTGTAACGGATAGTATAAAACAACAAAGTTTAAACAACGTTAGTCTCTCTCTTGACGTTTGCACTGGTCACAGAAGACTTACAAAGGAATACGTATCTCAAAGTTAGTGCGTGTTGTTAAATGCGTAATCGTTTTACAACTAAATTCTACCTCTCTGAGGTACTGAATGGCACCACGTCTGTTCAATCACAAATTAACCCCTTAATTTGTAATCTCACATTATTCTTAACTTCTTAATCTTTTAAAGTTTCACCGTGTATAAGTTTGCATTATATATATTGCAAAATTATATCGTATGATAATTTAATAATTAGTTCATTTACCTACAACTAAATAAATTGCCGAATAATAATATTTTCTAATTGAACTTCCTGTCGCAATTAAGGCGTAGATTAAATTGTATTATAAGCAAAAGTTAGGTGGTGTGATATGAACGAAGCAATGACCTAAGGTGCTTATGTATCTATTATGTGTGAAATTATAAATTGGGGGATTTGAGTTCAAATGAACACAGTCAATATTGAGTAGTTACCGAACGAACACCATATTGTGTAATTACGAATTGCTGTCAATAAATCATCACTTTTACTCCACAACTTCAACATTTATTAACCCTATCATCATCGATCGACGAGAAGCGGACAAAGGGGCATTTACGAACCGACACGAACTTCACTACTAAGTTCGATATTTTCCAACGTCAATAGTTGGGGGTTAATTTAATAAATAAACAATCAAACATGGGACAAAAATGTCTTCTTCTTAATTAAAACTGAATAATGTTTAAATTTATTTAATATCTAGCTCCAAAACTGCACAAAACATTTACTTATATGCACTTACCATATCCCAGTCAATACTTTTGAAAAACTGATGACCCGTAATCTCAACGAATGCTTCAGGGCTGTGACATCCTAACCTATCAGCTGGATTTTTGTTCAGGAATCCTTTCAGAACATTCGCCGCTTTAACACTAAGTGATCTAGGTATACGAATAGTTTTCTCAAGAATCACTTGGAATAGATAGTCTTCCGTGTTCTGGTCTGGATTTTCAGACGCTCCCGCTATGTCGAATGGCGATCGACCGGCTAACATCTCGTACAACAAGACACCTGCAATACACAAAGGAATTTCAAATATATCGAAATATGTATATAAAAGTAAAATTCTTATGTATGAAAAATATTTTAATAATGGAATGTATTATTCTGCTTCAGTGCTTTTCAATGAACACTTTATCTTTACTATTTTATAACTTAGGCTATATGTTATACTGTTGCAAGTTTATACTAAAATTGTATACAAGGCAGGAAAAATATTATTTCTTAAAAATATGAATACAACAGTTTGGGAGATAATAGTTTATTTTGCTCTGAAATAGCTTCGCTTTAATCCGTATAATATTTGTTAAGTTTCTATTTAAGGCTTATAAGAACTGTGTTTTAATTCCGAAAGCGACAACAAACTCTTACTTATTTGTCTGAATACAAATCATAAAAATTAAAATAATTAACGGTTGATCAAAGATTGGATTTTAAGTGAGGGTTAATTTTGTCATCTTGAGAAAAGTCGTCACGGTACACGCGATTTACTACCCTTTTCGGTGCTGTTAATCGGCGGTGACCTTATAAATGCACCATCTTTTTAATTCGTTGTCGCTTACGCTTATACATTGCATTGGTACAATTTTTCCACCACTCAACAGCCATCTATTGAAAAGTATGCAAATACATGAGCATGAAAAGTATGCAAGCACAAAGACTTGTGTTGATGTTGCTAGTTAAGTAATAATGAACCTGATTAATAATTCATCATCATCATTCAGCCGAATTTTCACATCCATTGTTGGATATAGGCCTCCTCCAAACGTCTCCAGTTCTCTCTATCTCTAGCTGCTGCAATCCAGTTTGTTTCTATCCTCCTTAGGTCGTCGGTCCATCGGGTGGGTGGTCTGCCTCGACTTCGCTTGTCGGCTCTTGGTCTCCACTCCAATAATCTCTTCGTCCATCTTCCGTCTTCCATTCTAGCAACATGTTCAGCCCACCTCAACTTTTGTTTATTGATTCGCAGTATAATATTGTCTACGCCAGTTAGTCGGCGTATCTCCTCATTTCTTACGCGATCTTTCAAGGTCAGGCCCAGCATTGATCTCTCCATTCGCCTTTGTGTTACCCTCAGTTTTTCGGCAGTAGCTTTCGTTAAAGTTAAGGTCTCTGCTCCGTAGGTCAAGACTGGTAAGATTCATTGGTTAAATGCCTTTCTTTTCAGCTGAATTGGATATTTGTTTTAAAAATGTCTCTCGTCTGTCCATATGCCGCCCATCCCAACATGATTCGTCTATTTAGCTCGCAGGTGTGGTTGTCTCTGGTTCTTCTAATTTCATGACCCAAGTATGTGTATTTATCGATTAATTCTACCTTGTTGTTATTGATCTGTATCTCTTCGCTGGGAACCATATTGGTCATCATTTTGGTTTTCTCGAAATTTATCTCCAGCCCAGTTTCTTGTAGTATGTCATTCAGTTCTTGGAGCATGTCTTTGATCTCTCCCAGATTATCTGACAGAAGCACGATATCGTCCGCAAAACGTAGATGGTTTAATCTTTCTCCATCGATGGATATTCCTTTCTGTTGCCATGTTAGTCTTTTAAATGCATACTCAAGAACGGTAATGAACAGCTTTGATGACATGGTATCTCCTTGCCTGACTCCCCTTTTTTATCTTTATTTTATTAGTTGCAGAATATAGACTTATTTTAATTATATTACAATATCTGTGGTCGATCCTGCAATCTTGTAGTGCTCTTAAGATGGACGGTAGTTCCACTGTATCAAACGCCTTTTTAAAGTCTACAAATATCAATGCCAAGGGGACGGTTATATTCGTTAGTTTTTTTATTAGGGTTTTTAGGCACTGCAGGTGATCGTTTGTGCCGTAATTAGGGCGGAAACCAGCTTGTTTCCGAGGTTGGTAAAAATCCAGCTTCGTCTCTAATCTATTCGTTATTATTCGGGTGTATAATTTATAAAGATGGTTAAGGAGACTGATTGGTCTGTATCTTTCCAGGTCTGTTATATCTCCCTTCTTGTGTAAGAGCACAGTTATTGAATGATTCCACTTTGTTGGGATATTTTGATTCCATAGGCATAGATTAAAGAGCTTTTGAATTTTGGCTATCAGTACTGAGCCTCCTATCTTTATCGCTTCCGTGACGACACCGTCCTCCCCGGAACTTTGTTATTCTTCATCTTTTTTAGGGCCTTGTAAATTTTCGTATAAGGAGATTTCTGGAATATCTTCGGAACCCTGATTTTGAACCTTCCTCTGTTGATATTCGACTATATCTAGAGTCGATTGGTTGCTATATAATGTCTCATAGAATGATTCCACAATTTGTAACAAATGTTCTCTGTTTGATGTGATGTTGCCATTTCTATCCTTGAGTTTGACTATTTGTTTATTTCCATTTGTGAGTTTGCGTCTCATTACTTTCATACTCTTATTTTCCTCAATGGTTTTGATGATTGTCTCATCTTTGTATTTTCTTAAGTCTTTTCTGATTTCTCTTGATACTTCCTTGTTCATTCTATTTCATTTTCAATGAACAATGAACAATGAAATGATTAATAATATTTTTGTGTAAATTGAAAATCTACAAAGTTTTCTTTGGTACAATATTCGTAACACCGCTCCGCATATGAAATAAATTAATTTTTATCTAGGAAAATGTCAAGATTAAGAAAGGACTATATATTTTTTACCCTAATTGGAATGACGTGGACGAATTACAAGCGAAATTTGATAATATAGATGAAGATGTAGAGACACTATCATCTGATTCCGAATCATAGTCGACAATTCTGAAACTGAAGATCCGAAGCGATTGAAACTGCAACGGTGGATGTCAAGAACATTTATAGCATATCGGGTGAAGAGTCTGAGACTGGTTTTCCACTAGAGGTGACAATAGATATGGCTAGAGTTCTTAGACGGAAAATCTCCAACATTCTCAAGTAATCATAGACATATCTCTTCTTCGAAAACTTTACGTATTCTTCTGAAGTAGCAGCCTTTATTCAAGACTTTGATAATCCAACACCACATAATATATTTTAATTTATTTTTAGGGGCATTTTTGCATGAAAAATTTTGCTCCTCCTCCTATGTGGGGTAGTTACTTCCAATTGTAAAAAAATTTAAAAATACAAAAATATGGGCCAACTTTATGTCTAGATTTTTTTTCTTTTTTAAAAACAAGTTACTAATAAGTTACAGAGATGTTCATAAAAAAAGATTGTTTTTCTAAATTATGTAACCAGTTTTTTCAAATTTGGTTTCTCAATGCCAATATGCCGAATGTGGACCACTTTCCCCTATAGTGTTGTTTCTCTCTTTATTTCTTGTAACTGTTTTCTTTTTAATATTTTTTTTATTTTATTTATAAAGAAAATGGATTAATTATTTTTTTACTATTACAGATTGGTTTTCTTCCAAAACGGTGATTAAACGGGGAAAATTTTGATCAGCCATATGCACCTAGCTTATTAAATTCACGAATTAATAACTCTTTCTAATAGTACACTTCAATGATTTTTAAATTTAAATATCAATATTTATTTTAACACATACGTAACTTAATTTTTTTTTCATTTGGATTTGACCAATATTAAAAATAGTAGGTACATATTAATCATTCTCCAAAGTAGAGACAAAACGTATTAAATCATATTCCCAAAACAAATTTAAATTCAAACACCTCTGCGTGTATTTTCAGTCAGTCAAGAATTCTCAGCCGATCGACGATAGTGCATATAGAAATAAACCAAGATGAAAACTATTTTGAGTTTGTTTTTGTGCGTTATTTTTGTTAGTGTAAATGCGTGGGTGGCTGTTATACCAGCTGATCCAGCAACCGGTGAGTAATTATTAATTAAATAGGTTTTAACCCTAAATAAATATAGCTAAATTAATTATTATCTGCGGTGACTCGCTCTTCGGACTTAACCATATACGGAAAATCAAGTTTGCTTGCGCGAATTGGTACTATCCGTTTACAGAAGCAGACGAAGGTTACTGTATTCAAACAAATGCTAGTTAAATAAAGATCTTGTGTAAGTAAAGACGACGTACTCTTAAAGAGTTTGTCCTAAACAATTGCTATTCAAAAGATGTTTATGGCAGATGAAAAGTGTACTACTTTAAAAGGCAACAATATTGTATGTCCACGAGATTGTTAAAATAAATTATTTTAAAGTACACTCACCGGCAAAATTAACGGAACACCTTAAAATTGGACATGTTAGATGTCTCGAATTTCCTAAACCTGTTGTCCGATTTTAGTGATTTTTTTAGTATGTTATAGGTATATTATATAAGAATATCGATGTAATAATATTGTTGCTAGACAGGTCAATGTCATTTTATACCGGGTGTAACAATCCTACTGTGTTTTTCCTTAAGTTCGGAACACCCTGTGGAATATTCTAGCATTATATATAAATATTGAAATTAAAACTTAATTATAGCCTTAGGCTTTCTTAAAACATTTTCTTTTTTGATTCATTTGCTTATGTTTGATAATAAAAAAGTTAGGTACGTTAACAACTAGCCAGGTTTTTCATCAATAAATCCTCATTTTCTGCTTAGTTTAAAAACAAGCCCAAAGTAGGCTATGAGAAGTTAACAATTTAATACACACACCGGCAAATTTAAAGGAACTGTTATTAATGCAATATTTCTTTATATTTGTATTTTATAGACTATATCTACATAGCTTTGAAAGCTCCTTGTCACAAGAAAGTCTAAATGTCAAAACCTCAAATTTAATTTGTTTATTTGTATTTTGTTTTAAATTTTACAGTCATTCTGTCTGTCCATAACAAGTACAAACTTGTATTTAATTGAGCGCACAGTGAGATAAGAGACTTAAAGAAGCCGGTCTCAAGTCATATGTGCCAATAAAGACTCCCAGACTCCAGAGACACCATCGTTTAGCACGACTACAATTTGGTCCGAGTACATCAAAATTGGAATGATTACCACTGGAGTCAAAATCTCTTTACGGAAGAGAGCCGTTTCGGTGTAAATTACATCAACGGTAGAGGAAAGATTG